CTTAGTTGGTAAGAGCAGTCGCCCGGAAAGTGAAAGACGCGGGTTCGATTCCCGCTTCAGCGACTTTTCGGACCTATATTTTCTCGCTTATTTCTCCATATGTAAGTTTCGAAATTAATTTATATGTGGAACTTTGGGATCTCAAATTGAGATACAGTTCCGTTTAATTAATTTTTCGTTTCGTTTCCTTGGCTCTATTGCCCAGCTTAGAAGACAGCATACTTATATTATTAGGATATTGTTATTTCACATTGTGTGAGCAGATAGCATGGATGGCATATATATATATATATATATATATATATAATATGCCATCCGTGCTATCTCACACAATGTGAAATAACAATATTCTATTTTATAAGTAGAGATTTCTACAACTTATCTCTCGGCAGGTGTTGTTATAAAATAAAATATTCTTTTATATTTTTTTATTTTGTTAATTTTACAAAATACATTTGATCATACCATATAAAAATAAAAAAGAACATATACCATATTGTCATCAATTATATATAACTAAAAAAAAAAGTGTGACTAATATGTAATAAAATGAAAAAAAAATATTATATAAAAAACGTATCCTGGTGCTGCCGGCGGGCATATATCCTGGTGCTGCCGGCGGTGCGGATATATATCCTGGTGCTGTCGGCGGTGCATATATATATCCTGGTGCTGTCGGCGGTGCATATATATATCCTGGTGCTGCTGGCGGTATATATCCTGGTGCTGTCGGCGGCGCAAGCACGTATCCTGGTGCTACAGGAGTATGAAGGCGGCAATCGGCGTATTTTCTTTGACGCGCCCGCTCCTTGTTCACCGCCTTACGTACCGCGGTGTTAATTCGCTGCAAAAAAAAAGAAATTTTATATTTACATATATATATATTTATATACAGGTATGTATAGATATACAGGGTGTCCCAGAATTGGCGAAAAAGTTTATGGCAGATTCCTGGTATCATTTGAAGACGATTTTTCCTGAGTGATATATATATATATATATATATATATATATATATATAGTATATATATATGTTCCTGTCTCTCTGTCTCTTCTTTCTTTTCTACATTGCATTTTTTCATACATGCACACGTATATAATAATAAATATTTTCTACATTACATAAATAAAACTAATTACATACATATATACATACATACATGTATGTAATTAGTTTTATTTATGTAATGTAGAAAATATTTATTATTATATACGTGTGCATGTATGAAAAAATGCAATGTAGAAAAGAAAGAAGAGACAGACAAAAACACACAGAGATGTGTGTGTGTGTGTGTGTGTATGTGTGTGTAAATATACATATACAGGGTGTACAGAAAAGATCGGATATATACATACATACATACATACCTATCGTTTTATTTAGCTATGTACCTGTCTATCTATCTATCTATCTATCTATCTATCTATCTATCTATCTGTCCCTCTGTGTTCCTGTCTCTGTCTCTCTGTTTCTTCTCTTTTCTACATTGCATTCTTTCATATCTGCACACGTATATAATAATTTTCAACATTATTTAAATAAAAATAATTACATACATACATACATGAAAATATATATATATATTTATATGTATGTATGTATGTATATATGTATGTATATAATTATTTTTATTATTTAAGTAATGTTGAAAATTATTATATACGTGTGCAGATATGAAAGAATGCAATGTAGAAAAGAGAAGAAACAGAGAGACAGAGACAGGAACACAGAGAGACAGATAGATAGATAGATAGATAGATAGGTAGATCGATAGACAGAGAGGCAGATAGCTAAATAAATCGATAGCAATGTGTATATATATATATATATATATGTGTGTGTGTGTGTGTGAATGTAAAAAAATATTACATATAATAGTACCTGTCTTACTGTTTGCGCTGGCAGCGGGGTCATCGCCATCCTCGCGTCCGCTGGCAGCGGGGTCATCATCATCTTCGCGTCCGCTGGCAGCGGGGCCATCATCATTCTCGCGTCCGCTGGCAGCGAAGTCATCATCATCCTCGCGTTCGCTAGCAGCGGCGCCGTCGCCGTCCTCGCGTCCGCTAGCAGCGGCGTCGTCGCCGTCCTCGCATCCGCTGGCAGCGGCGTCGTCGCCGTCCTCGCATCTGCTGGCAGCGGCGTCGTCGCTGTCCTCGCATCCGTTGGCGGCGGCGCCGTCGCCGTCCTCGCCTTCGCTGGCAGCGGCGCCGTCGCCGTCCTCGCGTCCGCTGGCAGCGGCGCCGTCGCCGTCTTCGCGTCTACTGTCTTCCTCTTCGGGATGACGTATCCTTCACTTCTTGCTAAAATAAATAAAAAAATTATTAGATAAAAAAGGGAGGGAGAGAGAGAGAGAGAGAGAGAGAGAGAGAGAGATATTATATGAAATACTTACGTCGCGGCATCTTGGTTCCTCTATCTTCGGCGACGAAAAGTGGACTGTGCATCTTCCGAGTTCGTGCGTTGTTGCCGCGCGGCTGATTGTTATTTGTTTGCAAATAAGATATTGCCGCACGGCGCGCACACACACACACACATATTGAATGTTACTTTTTTTTCTTTCCTGTGTCTTTCGCTTTCACTTTGAAAGATTGCAGGAGAATTTTTTATTTATACAGGGGCGTTCCTAGGGTACTTGGCGCCGGGGTCACCGGGGTGCCACACTAAATTTGCCGCCTCTACTTATATCTTTTTATATTCTTATATATTTCGATTTAAAAGGACTCAATAAAAAAGTTTTTTTAATAAACAATTTTCTAAGAGGTAGGACTTGTTTTTGAAAAAATTTTCATGAGTGTGCCGCCCCCGTGGCGCCCGTGTGCCCTGCACTCTTTGCACACCCGGGTTGGAACGCCCCTGTATTTATATATAATTATATATATTAAGAGTTTAACTAGGCTCTGTAATATATAAATATAAATTTAACATATATAAGATAGGCAATAAGAGCCAAATCGCGGATGACAGTGCGTTATTCTAAACGAAACTAAATTTTTCGTTAGAATTAAATACCTGTGCACAAGGCACCAAATTTTTACTTGGACACGGCCAAGATATAAAATTGGAATAATCTCTACAAGAGATTTTTAATTCCATGTATCCCCTATTCCCCCTAAAGAAATAAAGTGCGAGAGAAAAATATAGATCCGAAAGTCGCAGAATCGGGAATCGAACCCGAGACCTTTCGCTTGCCGGGCGACTGCTCTTCCAACTGAGCTATTCAGATCCTTTCGATTCTATACTTTTCTCTGTTATATATATTAATGTTGGTAAATAAACGCCTTTAAGCCAGCGTGTATAAATTAAGAGTTTAACTAGGCTCTGTAATATATAAATATAAATTTAACATATATAAGATAGGCAATAAGAGCCAAATCGCGGATGACAGTGCGTTATTCTAAACGAAACTAAATTTTTTCGTTAGAATTAAATACCTGTGCACAAGGCACCAAATTTTTACTTGGACACGGCCAAGATATAAAATTGGAATAATCTCTACAAGAGATTTTTAATTCCATGTATCCCCTATTCCCCCTAAAGAAATAAAGTGCGAGAGAAAAATATAGATCCGAAAGTCGCAGAATCGGGAATCGAACCCGAGACCTTTCGCTTGCCGGGCGACTGCTCTTCCAACTGAGCTATTCAGATCCTTTCGATTCTATACTTTTCTCTGTTATATATATTAATGTTGGTAAATAAACGCCTTTAAGCCAGCGTGTATAAATTAAGAGTTTAACTAGGCTCTGTAATATATAAATATAAATTTAACATATATAAGATAGGCAATAAGAGCCAAATCGCGGATGACAGTGCGTTATTCTAAACGAAACTAAATTTTTTCGTTAGAATTAAATACCTGTGCACAAGGCACCAAATTTTTACTTGGACACGGCCAAGATATAAAATTATTTTCTCTCGCACTTTATTTCTTTAGGGGGAATAGGGGATACATGGAATTAAAAATCTCTTGTAGAGATTATTCCAATTTTATATCTTGGCCGTGTCCAAGTAAAAATTTGGTGCCTTGTGCACAGGTATTTAATTCTAACGAAAAAATTTAGTTTCGTTTAGAATAACGCACTGTCATCCGCGATTTGGCTCTTATTGCCTATCTTATATATGTTAAATTTATATTTATATATTACAGAGCCTAGTTAAACTCTTAATTTATACACGCTGGCTTAAAGGCGTTTATTTACCAACATTAATATATATAACAGAGAAAAGTATAGAATCGAAAGGATCTGAATAGCTCAGTTGGAAGAGCAGTCGCCCGGCAAGCGAAAGGTCTCGGGTTCGATTCCCGATTCTGCGACTTTCGGATCTATATTTTTCTCTCGCACTTTATTTCTTTAGGGGGAATAGGGGATACATGGAATTAAAAATCTCTTGTAGAGATTATTCCAATTTTATATCTTGGCCGTGTCCAAGTAAAAATTTGGTGCCTTGTGCACAGGTATTTAATTCTAACGAAAAAATTTAGTTTCGTTTAGAATAACGCACTGTCATCCGCGATTTGGCTCTTATTGCCTATCTTATATATGTTAAATTTATATTTAATTATATATACATTTATAATTATATATGATTATATATAATTATATATAATAATTATATATAATAATTATATATAATAATTATATATAATCATATATAATTATAAATGTATATAATAAAAAAAAACATGTTTGATATATTACACAAAAAAAAAGTTTTTCTCGGTCTTGAACCCTAGTTCGCACGGTGGTAAACCCACGCTCTAAATTCTAAATTGACGCCACGGGATTCATATTATCAATATAGATTTTTATGACATATTTGAATTAAAAAAAAATAATTTTTAGAAAAAATATTATTCATCCACTTATTTCAAAAAGATAAGATACAAAATAAAACTACTTTTATCTTTTGGAAATAAGTGAATGGTGTATATTTTTTTATGTAAAGAAACGTAAAACAATTTGTAGTATTATTGGTGCCATATACGATTTATGATATCAATATGGGGTTTTATGAGCTATTTGAATTAAAAATAATTTTTTAGAAAAAATATTATTTATCCACTTATTTCAAAAAGATAAAAGTAGTTTTATTTTGTATTCTTTTTGAAATAAGTGGACGAATTTTTTCTAAAAAATATTTCTTTTTAAGTCAAATATAAAAATCCATATTGATATCATAAAACGTATATAGCGCCAATAATACTATAAATTGTTTTACGTTTCGTTACATAGAACAAATATATAAACCATCCACTTATTTCAAAAAGATAAAAGTAGTTTTGTTTTTTATTTTATCTTTTTGAAATAAGTGGATAAATAATATTTTTACTAAAACATTTCTCTTTAATTCAAATATCTCATAAAAATCCATATTGATACAAGAGTCCTGTGGCGCCAATTTAGAGCGTGGGATTATCACCGTGCGAACCAGGGTTCAAGTCCGCGTAGGACATTGCCTTTTTCGCATGATGCGATGGCCGTCGTTGCCAGCGGACGCGAGGATGATGACGGCGATAAATGTCGCCCCCCCCCCCTGCACCGCCGGCAGCACCAGGATATATATCCGCAGCACCAGGATATATATATGCAGCATTGCCCGACAGCACCAAGTTAAATAATCCCCGCACAGGGCCCAGGATTAAAATTTTTTTTTTTTTTTTTTTTTTTTTTAATAAAATAATTTATTCATGAAACTAATAAAATTATAATAAGAATATATAATAAAAATATTTTTAAATTGATCAATGTATTGGTTTAATTTATCGTCATCGAAGAGGAAAGCAGGAAAATCTTCGATTACGTTTATTTGACAATCATAATTAAAAATATTCGAAAAATCATATGCTTTTGTTTTGTAATTGTCAATTTATCTTTGATTGAATTTGCTCGATAAGAAAATTAGTTATATTTAACAATTTTACATTATAAATGTTGATAAAAATTCAAGTTGTGAACTTTGACTTCGGAATCGAGCAAATTCAATGGAAGATAGTATCGACAATTTATCATTTGATCGAATATCTGATTGATAAGAAATAAACATAATCGTAGATTTTCCTTTCCTTCCCCTTTGATGACGCGATAAATTGAACCAATATATTGATCAATTTAAAAAAATTATTCTTATTATATATTCTTATTAGTTTGATAAATAATTATTTTATTCATAAAATAGATTGCAAAAATAAAATCTTGGGCTTTTTTGTACGTGGATATCATTCTAATGCTACGGGCAGTGTGGGCACATTTGAAAATCTATATTTATAATTGTGCAAAAAATATATAATTATATATAATTATATATAGTTGAAAATCTATATTTATAATTGTGCAAAAAATATATAATTATATATTTTTTGCACAATTATAAATATAGATTTTCAAATGTGCCCACACTGCCCGTAGCATTAGAATAATATCCACGTACAAAAAAGCCCAAGATTTTATTTTTGCAATCTATTTTATAAATAAAATAATTATTTATCAAACTAATAAGAATATATAATAAGAATAATTTTTTTAAATTGATCAATATATTGGTTCAATTTATCGCGTCATCAAAGAGGAAGGAAAGGAAAATCTACGATTATGTTTATTTCTTATCAATCAGATATTCGATCAAATGATAAATTGTCGATACTATCTTCCATTGAATTTGCTCGATTCCGAAGTCAAAGTTCACAACTTGAATTTTTATCAACATTTATAATGTAAAATTGTTAAATATAACTAATTTTCTTATCGAGCAAATTCAATCAAAGATAAATTGACAATTACAAAACAAAAGCATATGTAGTTTCGAATATTTTTAATTATGATTGTCAAATAAACGTAATCGAAGATTTTCCTGCTTTCCTCTTCGATGACGATAAATTAAACCAATAGATTGATCAATTTAAAAATATTGTTATTATATATTCTTGTTATAATTTTATTAATTTCATGAATAAATTAGTTTATTCAAAAAAAAAAAAAAATGCAAAAATTTAAGTCCTGGGCCCTGTGCGGGGATTATTAACCTGGTGCTGTCGGGCAATGCTGAATATATATATATATATATATATATACGTATGTTACGCGTATGAACGTGTATAGCACCGCGCGACGTGAGTGAGGCGTCGCGCAGTAGATCATATCAACGTATAATACGCGCGGATTACTGTGGTACATACATACTACTGATACCGCGCGAATACGAAAGATCTGACGCGCATTTTTACGTGAGTGTGTGTATGTGTATGAACAGGCCTATCTATAATAATTATAATTGATTACAAAGTGAATAATTCTTTGTAATGATTTATATAAAAGTATTTTAGAGATTGAATACATAATAATGCTATTATTATTAAAACACACAGAGCAGTAGAGTTAGATAAGAATAAATCATATAAATCATTTATTTATTACAAAAAATTATCTACTAAAACTTTGTAATCATTATATTCATAAAAGATTTTTATATATTATTAGATTATAAATTTAATTACTTTTGTAATGTACAATATTTTTAAAAAAATATTATATACGTGTACATATATAAAATAATGCAATGTAGAAAAGAGAGAAGAGACAGATAGATCGATAGATAGATAGATAGATAGATAGGTTGATCGATAGATGATAGATAGTTCGATAGATAGATTGCTAAATAAATCAATATGTATGTGTATATATTATATATATATATATATATATATATATATATAAGAATAAAGGGGGTATCATTAGAATATCGCAAAAAATTTTTATATATAGATGGAGAAAATCTTGCAAATTTTAAAATCATTTTTATTTTTCGAATGATACAAAGTTTCACTGTGAATATCACGTTGCAGGACATCCTGCGTATATATACACATACATACATATACATACATATATATATATATATATATATATATATATGAATGTATGTATGTATGTATGTATGTGTATATATACGCAGGATGTCCTGCAACGTGATATTCACAGTGAAACTTTGTATCATTCGAAAAATAAAGATGATTTTAAAATTTGCAAGATTTTCTCCATCTATATATAAAAATTTTTTGCGATATTGTAATGACACCTCCTTCATTCTTATTCAATATTTATGGGATTCAATTGTTATAAATTTTTTTTACATTATATACATATTTTCTAAAAGTAACAATTTCTGAAATATAAAGCAGTCTCTTGCTTATTTTAAATAGTTGTTAGTAGTAGAAATATTATAGTAATAATAAGTAGTAGTTACAATAGTACAATAGTAATACTAATAGTTATAAAGTTGCAGTAGTAACAAAAAAAAAGAAAAATATCTTCTCCCAGAACGATTTGCATGTGCGTTCTGGTTATTAAAAAAAGATATTTTATATCACAGACGATTTATTCGTCTGTTAGTTGCTTTAAAAATATCTTCTCCCAGAACGATTTGCATGTGTGTTCTGGTTATTAAAAAAAGATATTTTATATCACAGACGATTTATTCGTCTGTTAGTTGCTTTAAAAATATCTTCTCCCAGAACGATTTGCATGTGCGTTTTGGTTATTAAAAAAAGATATTTTATATCACAGACGATTTATTCGTCTGTTAGTTGCTTTAAAAATATCTTCTCCCAGAACGATTTGCATGTGCGTTCTGGTTATTAAAAAAAGATATTTTATATCAGAGACGATTTATTCGTCTGTTAGTTGCTTTAAAAATATCTTCTCCCAGAACGATTTGCATGTGCGTTCTGGTTATTAAAAAAAGATATTTTATATCAGAGACGATTTATTCGTCTGTTAGTTGCTTTAAAAATATCTTCTCCCAGAACGATTTGCATGTGCGTTCTGGTTATTAAAAAAAGATATTTTATATCAGAGACGATTTATTCGTCTGTTAGTTGCTTCTAAAATATCTTCTCCCAGAACGATTTGCATGTGCGTTCTGGTTATTAAAAAAAGATATTTTATATCAGAGACGATTTATTCGTCTGTTAGTTGCTTTAAAAATATCTTCTCCCAGAACGATTTGCATGTGCGTTCTGGTTATTAAAAAAAGATATTTTATATCACAGACGATTTATTCGTCTGTTAGTTGCTTTAAAAATATCTTCTCCCAGAACGATTTGCATGTGCGTTCTGGTTATTAAAAAAAGATATTTTATATCAGAGACGATTTATTCGTCTGTTAGTTGTTTCTAAAATATCTTCTCCCAAAACGATTTGCATGTGCGTTCTGGAAGATATTTTATGCCAGACTTATTTATTCGTAAACTGCTTCTTTACATCAGATACGGTTTATGTATCCTCTGCTTAGTATAAAAATGAAACATTTATATTGAAACTTTATTGTATAATATAATATAGTTTGAATAAGATATAGATTTATAAACAAGAGACTGCATTTATTTTTCAAAAATCTTTTGATAATTATATAGTTTGAATAAGATATAGATTTATAAACAAGAGACTGCATTTATTTTTCAAAAATCTTTTGATAATTATATAACTGATACATTTAATTTTTTTAACAATATTTTAACATTATTCTTTTTTGCAGGCGACGGATGCTGAAGAAAGAGAGACAAGAGGAAAATGACTCCAGGTATAGCACATCTAAGGATACTAACAATGAATCCATCGATAATCAGAAATCGGCGGAATTGCTATTTGATACAATGGATTCAAAAGTTAGTATCCAATCGTTAGTACCCGCGATGCAATGCCTGGAGTCAAATTCAAATACAGGTACGTGTAGTAAAAATGTCGAACTTTGCGAAGATAACAATCATTTTGTTATCGAAAATAGCCCTCTGGATATAAATAATATCCAGGAAAGCATGCCTCAAGGGCGTCGCATTGTCGACTTTTCTCATATGTGGAATGAACTTCAGAGTTCATTCAATAATCATATGAAAGAAATAGAGTGCCAATTTAAAGATTGGCAAATCATAAAAACTAAAACCGAAGGCCAAGAGGAAAATGACTCTAGGAATAGCACATTAAAAAATACTAGCAATGAATCCATCGATTTTCAAAAATCGGTGGAATTATTCTCTGATACGATGGATTCAAAAGTTAGTATTCAAAAAGTGCAATGCTTAGAGTCAATTTCAAAAACAGATATGTGTAATGAAAATGACGAACTTTGCGAAGATAACAATCATTTTGTTATCAAGAATAGCCCTCTGGATATAAATAATATCCAGAAAAGCATGCCTCAAGGGCGTCGCATTGTCAATTTTTCTCATATGTGGAATGAACTCCAGAGATCATTCAATAATCATATGAAAAAAATAGAGTGCCAATTTAAAGATTGGCAAGTCATAAAAACTAAAACCGAAGGCCAAGAGGAAAATGACTCTAGGAATAGCACATATAAGAATACTAGCAATGAATCCATCGATTTTCAAAAATCCGTGGAATTGGATTTCGATAAAATAGATTCTAAAGTTAGTACTCAAAAAGTGCAATGCCTGGAGTCAATTTCTGAAACAGATATTTGTAATGAAGATATCGAACTTTGCGAAGATGATTATTTTGTTATCGAGAAAGGCTCTCTGGATATAAATCGTATCCAGGAAAGCTTGCCTGAAGGCCGTCGCATTGTCGACTTTTCTCATGTATGGAAAGAACTCCAGAGATTATTTAATAATCATATAAAAGGAATAGAGTGCCAATTTAAAGATTGGAAACTCATAAAAACTAAAACCGAAAAGTTTAAGACGCATTTTACTTTCAAATGCCAAATGTGCAATACTGAAGCCGAATTCTGGTCAGAACCCAAAGATCCGAAAATATTAAGCATTGATATGGCTGCTGCAATAAGAACTATTACAGTAGGAATTGGCTATGCCCAATTGAAAGAGCTGTGTGCAGCTATGAATATTCAATGTATGTCCGATAAAAGTTATATGCAAAATCGAGATATGTTAGTAGACGAGTTTGAGAAAACAGCCATGGAAAATATGAAAATGGCTGGCCAAACTGAAAAGCAACTGGCTCTCAAAAGGAACGATGTTATAAACGGTATTCCGTACATAACTGTAATAGCTGATGGTAGTTGGAGTAAAAGATCGTACGGCCACGCCTACGATTCTCTTTCCGGTGTTGGTACTTTAATTGGTTACCACACGAAAAAAGTTCTTTTTATCGGTATCCGCAATAAATATTGCACGATATGCGATGTAGCGGAACGAAACAGAATCGAACCAAAAAAGCATAAATGCTATAAAAATTTCGATCGTAACGCAAGCTCCACAAGTATGGAGAGCGATGCCATTGCAGAAGGCTTTAAAAGTAGCCTGGAAATGCATGGATTAATTTTTAGAACAGTTATTGCCGATGGCGATAGCAGCGTCTATCAGGCCATCATTGATAGCAGACCATATCGGGAACAAATGGTGACCGTGAAAAAAATAGAATGCACGAATCATTTGCTTCGCAATCTATGCAAAAAGCTGCAGGCGGTAGCAGGGACAACTCAGCCAAAAATGCATAGAAAGCGCGGTTTTGTCCAGCTACGAAATGTTGTAAAGAACAACATTATGAACATACGAACAGAAGTGATAGAAGCAATTGATTTACGAAATAAACAAGAGCAACCTCACCATGATAAAGCTAGAGAATTACAAAAAGATATATTAAACATTCCTAGTCATATATTTGGTGAACATAAACGATGTAAGGAACGCGGTCGTATATGTGACCTTGATGAAACGAAGAAAAATTATGTACCGTTTCTCAAATTACACGATCTTTACCAAAGAGTAGAAAAGGCTATAATATATTTAAGCGCTTATTCCGACGGTTTGTTGTACAAATACACCAACAATCCTGTAGAGTCGTTCAATTCGATAATCTGCAAAGAAATTGCTGGTAAGCGCATTAATTTTAGTAACCGAGGCTCTTACAATGCTAGAGTTGCGGGGGCAGTTTTGCAATATAATTCGAAACAAGGTCTTACGGAAATGCATAAAAGCATGGATAAAAATGTTCCTCCTACTGTCGAGATTCTGGAAAAGCGACGACAAATTAAAGTTGCAAGAACTAGAGAATCTCGGAAAATTGATGGACGGCAAAAATGTAAAAGCAAGTCAGGAACAGATTGTCATTACGGTCCGCAATCACAAAAACCTGATCTTCTACCCGAGGTTTTTGAACAACTTCTACAAAATCATTTGGAAAAGTTGTTTGAAAATGGGAAAAATTGGAGACAAATTGAACGTAATACAATAGAGCAAAGTGATTCAGATTTGTGGCATTCACTGAGACAGGAACTGTTGACGGCGTCTAATTTTGGAACTGTATGTCGCATGAGACCGACAACGTCTTGCGCCGCAACCGTAAAAAACATTTTATTTCCTCCCTCTATTGATACTGCGGCTATAAAATATGGTCGCGAAATGGAAAAAATTGCGAGAAAAGAATTGGCCGTAACATTAAAAAAGGAGATAAAAATTTGCGGATTATTTATTGATATTAAAAATCCGTGTTTGGGTGCTTCTCCAGACGGACTCATAGATGAAGATGGTCTGGTAGAAATAAAATGTCCTTTATCAGCTGAGCATTTAACAGCGGAAGAGGCCATAAAAATATTGCCCCATTTGAAAGGCATCTTTGATAAGAAAAATCCAGATAAAATGAATCAAAATCACCGATTTTTCTATCAAATTCAAGGCCAGTTAAATATAACGCAGCGAGATTATTGTATTTTCGCTGTGTGGACGCCAAAAAGCTTGAAAATAGTACGTGTTAATAGGGACACTGTATTTTGGAGTAATCAAATGCTGCCCTTTTTAACACGTTTCTATTACCATTGCATGCTTCCGGAAATCTTGGACAGTCGGCATAATCGACATATGCCAATTAGAAATCCAAGCTATATAATAGAAGCTCAACAAGAAGTAGCTAAAAAAAGAAAACAAACGAGTCTTCCACAGTGTAATGTAGAAGATAAAAATATTGCCAAAAAAAGAAATCAAATATTTCATCAATGGAAGCAACTGCTTTGAATGCAGAACAAGATGATTGCATCGTAGTTAGTTACTCAAAAATACAGAACTAACAGAATGCGATATGGCAAAGCAAAAAGAATTTTTTGATAATTGGGTTGCTCCTTTTGATTCAGTAAAGGAAAATGTATTACCTTTAGATAGTCAAATAAATGACGAATCATTGGACCGATTTTTGCGCGTCATAAGAGAGAATTCTTGTTTTGAGACACAAAGTGTGCAATATTTGGAATATCCTCATATAATTGAAGCAAGTTGTAACGACAAAAGCTTACAAATTATTGGAGGAAATTGCAGTAATCACTGGCGATGTATTTCTTTTGACGGCACCAAGCTTCGAGTGTACGACAGTCTATCTGGCTGTACATACGAAACATTGAAGGCTAAAGAAATAAATTACATTCATCGCCGTTATCCACAAATAAATAAAAATAATATAATATTTGAAAACGTTCAAACACAACCTGATGGTATATGTTGTGGGATCTTTGCTGCCGCATTTGCTACAACTATAGCTTTAGGAGGAAATCCTTGTAATGAGACATATTCTGCTGATGTTAAACGTATGAGACAACATTTCTTAAAAATTATAGCAGAAAATAAACTGTCACCTTTTCCTAACTAATGAAAATTTATCATTATACTAGAAATGTGTAATTCTAATAAATATTGTTGCAAAAAAGTGTCTAATACAAATGTCTCATTTGCAAAAATCGGAGAGACGAAAAAAATACATATATTATGGTTGCGTTCTCACGGGAATGGGCGATGGAGGGGCCCATTTCATTCTATATATGCATAAAAATGTTTTGTATATTATATAATATTCTGTTATATTATATAAAAATATACAGCTGGTTATTTGAATATATTTGCTATTTTCTCAATTATTGATAAGAGGAGAAAAGCGAATTGTGCGTACTGCATACATTGTAATTTATAGAAAATTACAGGTAATATCAATATACGTACCATACACGTATGCTTATACCATACACAAATGTGTATATGTATTTGTATATATGTATGCATTTATGCATGCATTTATATATGTAAGAAATATATACATATATATACATGTATATAGATGCATATATCAATGCATAAACATATATATAATATGTACATGGTGATTCAAAAGTCTGGCAATGGCCAATTATCTCCGAAAATAGTGGTCTTATGAAAAAAATACTAAAGGTGTTGACTTTTACCTAGGTGTCAAATTTTGAGATCATTTATAGGTCAACTTAAAATCCTTTATTTTTTATTAGATATTCTTGTAGCTTATCTCGACAGCTTTCCAAAGCATTATAATAAAACATTTTTTCATGAAGTACTTTTTGAATTATAAAGATTTGAAGCAATTGTTTAACATAAAATTATATCTTTGTAAAATATTCAGTTTTACGTTATCATACTTTTTATTTTTATGCACATAATAATGAGACCAATTTGGTGTAAAGAAAATGCACCCAGCAAATACAAAATATTACTGCTATGTTACATGTATATAATACTATATAACGTGCATGTTACATGTAACATATACGGTAATTTCTCACTCATAGATGTAACATTTGTAATATGACATGTTATTTATATATTGTAATTACATCCCAGATAGCAGCGATATTGTAGGATGCCGAAAGATAATCTTTCGCTAAGTCACTATCCTATCTATAATTACAATAAATAATAGAATCCATAAGTGGGAAATTACAACTAACGTGTATGTTACATGTTACATGCACGAATTACGTGTTATATAGCAATTATGTTGTTTGCTGGGCAGTTGCTTCTTGAAAATTACATACGTCTTTTGCAACTGTGTTTTCTTTGCACCTATTGATTGGTCTCATTATTCCGTGCATAAAAAGTATAAATGTATAACGAAAATTGAATGTTTTACAAGATATTGTCAATTTTATAAAAGAATTGTTCACTTCAAACTTTTATAACTCAATAAGTACATCAAAAAATATTTTATTAGTGTTTTGGAAAATTCTCGGGATAAGCTACAAGAATATCTAATAAAAATAGAGGGTTTTGTTTAATAAAAGTTGATCTTGAAATGACCTCTAAATTTGACCCCTACGTCAAAGTAAAGGTCACCATAAAATATCTTATTTTTCCTAGAAACAATTTTTATATATAACAATATAAAATTATATAGAAATATATAAAATTATACATATAATTGCAAAATTAAATATGAAATATGTCTATATATAATTAGATAAAAGAGCTTTTTATATACATATACTTATATATATATATATATATATATATATTGTATATATAATAAATAAGTATTCACATATATAAATATATCTAATGTTTCATATATAACTTGACATGAGATTATACATGAACTTCATAATTTATATATAAATAAATTTAATTATATATAAAATGAACATATTTCACATATAATTATGTATAATTATATAATTATTTAGATATAATTATATATAAAAAATTTTTTCCGGGTTGAACCCTGCAATTTTTATATTTTTTTCATAAGACCACTATTTCTTGGACATAATTGACCGTTGCCGGACTTTTGAACCACTTTGTATATATATATATATGGTAGATTGTATATTTCCTTTGAAAAATACATGAAAATATGCATATATCATCAAAATATATAAGAGCAATATTGAAATTGTGTTCAACTATGTCATAAAGAGACACATTTATATATGTATGTTTTACTGTCATTGACGCTTAGATGCGTGTGCGAGATGATTCGACAGTAAAAATATATTATATTGTCTGATTTCAATATGTTGAACACACTAAAATAGCTTTTTGACATATATGGATTATTATCGATAATAGCGGAATTAAAATTATCGATAATTATCGACAATTTTAGTTCCACTCAAATGAGGGCGCTAACCCGTCGGAGTTCGGCCAACGCTCCGGCATCCCCTTAATGCTTCCTTAAATTCAATATACTTGTAATTACTTTCAAAAAAATATGATTCTGTGGAAGCAGTATGTTTATTTGAACCACATAAAGCTTGATTATAATTATTGGAAGTAATATCATCATTACATTTATTAGCGCGACTTAAACATACTTCTGCTTTTTCTCTTAATAATGCCAATGTTTTTCTCAAGATTATTATGTATTTTTCTCTAGCGTGTATACACCATTTAATTATTCGTTCTGCTCGAAGTCTTTTTTCTTCTATTGAAGATCCTTTAATATTTCGTAAGAGGATTTTAACATATGTTTCCATTGATTGCAAAATTCCAATTCTATTTTCTTTTAAATACATACGCCTATATTTCCAACATATTTTATTAGCTATACAATTTTTTTGCTTTTTTGTTATATATTTCTTGTGGTTTTCATAATATTTTTTATTAGATAATTTCTTATTTGTAGGACAACGTATATATTTTTCTAATCTTTCACATTCATGTTTCTTATGTAAAACATAATATTTACGTTTTTTTTCACATTTATCATTTCTATCATTTGCATATTTTAAACGCTTTATAACACGATTTTCTAATAAATTATATGCATATGCTTTTCGTTTTGCTGCACGATTTTTAATTCTATTTTTTTCAAGTTTATCATACATTAATTGTTTTTTGATTCGAAGATCATATTGTTCTTGAGTTTCATATTTTCTTTGCACACGTTTTCGATGTGCATCTACTCTTCTGCGTTCTACTACTTTTAAATGTGGAACATTTTCTGGAATGTTATTAATATAATTTTGTGGAAAATGTTCAATTATATTAGTATCAAAAATTTTAAATAAATGACTTCTCATCAAAGAATGTTCATAGTTTATAATATCTGGTTTTAAACCAAATAATAATGATATAGCAAAAGCAATTGCAAACACACCACAATCATTTCCATTTGGTTGTTGTTGCACTTTAGGAAATTTAATATTATTTTTATTGAAATTAAAAAATGGATACAATTTTTTTAAATATATTTTATGATGAGCATGCAGTTTTCCATAATTTAATGAATCATATATATATATATATATATATATATATTTAGTATCATAATAGCTGCATACCCAGTGACCATCATATTTCGATGTACTGCTATGCAAGATTTGTATATGTTCTTGCATAGCTGAAATAGGCTCTATTGTTTCGGGACATTGAATCCTCCATGTATCACGAGGACAAAAAGAAGAGCAATTTTTTAATATAGAATTAAATGCATCGATATGAATATCTTCCAACCACGTATTATTTTGTTTTACAATATTTATATCGTAATTTGATAATTTTATTATATTTTTAATTACCATTTTATTATTTTCTGTATTTTTTTCAATTAAATAAAAATAAAAATATAATTGAAGTACTTACTTGATCCTGTACTTACTTTGTAACTACCGCCAACTATCGCATCAACTGCCAACCCGACTCCTTTAAAAAATGTAAAATTTAAAACAATACTAAAATTATAAACATTATTTAAAAGTACTATGACACGAAACTTGTAGAGAATATGAAATTAAGAAAAGAGACATGTTATATAAATTAAAATATTTATATATATATATATATATATAATTTATATAAAAATATATATAATTGTATAATTAAATAAAGCTCGATTAAAAAGTAAAGTTATCGTCCGATCGCTGAAGTTAACTAATGCTTGAACATGATCAATATTTAGATGGGTGACCGCTTGGGAGCATTATTATTTTGTATAAATATATAATCATATATATATATATATATATATATATATATTTATATATGCTTATATATGAAATATTTTTTCCCGGATATTCTTTTAAATTATTGGTTTTTTGAATAAATCTAAACATATATTAAATAAAATATGTCTCGATATACATACAAATTTGTGTTAAAGTATATATATATATATATATATATATATATATTCCTATACTACCTATTAAATAATCTTTAAAATTATTATATTATATTTTACGTATATGCATATATGAAATTTAAAAATAATACAGAGATAAAAA